ACTTTTATTTTGATGAAATTTCAAACCCAGAGACAGGTTGCAAGAATATAAAGGAATTCAACTATATGTCAATTAAGAAAAAATAATAATAATAAAGGCACGAATTATACTCTTTACCCAGACTGACTGCTGCTTCCATCTCATCCCCCACGACACACGTTTGTGAAAAGCCCATCCGTTAACTCCACTGTGCAAACTCCAGTGGCCGCCTTCCAGTCTTTGCCTTCGAGCCTCGCCTGCTTCTACCCCTGCTGTCTGCTTCCCTCCCTGAAACGTTCTGTCCCTCGGCCTGAGTCTCCTCTGCCTCTCCCCCTACTTCTCCGACTTCCCTTTCGTGTTCTCCTTCTTAGGTCCTCGTAAACACGGGAGTCTCTCAGAGTCCCAGCCTGGGCCCACTGCTTGGCCGTGCGTCTTTTCTTTCTGGGGGAGCTCGTCCACTTTTATTTACTAAAACTACTATCGCTATGCTGGTGAAGCCCACGTTGTATCTCCAGCTGCCATCTCTCCCTTTAGTTTCAGATGCCCATATTCAAATGCCTGTTAGACACACCTGCCCTTAGATGGTCCACAAGCATCCCACACTCAACTGTCTCGAATGCATCGCCGCCTCCCCTCCCTCCTGCCGCCCTCCTCTGTGTGTCCTCCGTCTCAGGGAACGGCACCTCCATCTTTCACCTTGACAATTGCAATCAACTCCTAATTGGTCTCCCGGACTACAGTCTTCACCCTCCAGATAATCACCCTCTGTCAAAGTGACAGCCCTAAAATGCACATCTTCTTGTGTCTTGCCCTGAAAAACCTGCCCTGACAGACCTCCCGTCACCTGCAGGTCCAAGCTCCTTAGCCTGGCACAGGTGGCTCCCTGCTTCGGCTCCTCCCAGCCTCTCCAGCTCATCTGGTGTCCCTGCCTGCCACATTAGCCCATGTCTCCACGTGTCTGCTCAAGTCGTTCCCCTGGCAAGGACCTCCTCTCACCTTTCCTTGGTTAACACATCCTTAAACACTGAACTCAATGGGCATCTCCTACAGGCTCGGAGAAGTGTCCCTTTATTGCGTTAACTGCAATCCTTTTCTTATGTGTATCTATACATCTATCAAACAAATTTTAAAATCTCGGTTTTTATGTTTGTCTCCCTCACTGCTCTGTAAACCCTGGAAGGTAAGAGGTTTGTATATTTTCATACACAATTATACACATTTAGGAACCTTTGTACGCTGTTGGTGGGAGTATAAATTGGTGCAGCCACTGTGGAAAACAGTATGGAGATTTCTTAAAAAACTAAAAATAGAACTACCATATGAGCCAGCAATGTCACTCCTGGGTAAATATCTGGAAAAAACCCAAAACACTCATTCAAAAAGACACATGCACCCCAATGTTCACAGCAGCATTATTTACAATTGCCGTGATAGGGAAGCCACTTACGTGTCCATCAACAGTTGGATGGAAAAAGAAGACGTATATATATACAATGGAATACGACCTAGCCATGAAAAAGAACAAAATTTTGCCATTTGCAGCAACATGGATGAACTTGGAGGGCATTATGCTAAGTGAAATAAGTCAGATAGGGAAAGGCAAATATTCTATGATATCGTTTATATGTGGAATCTAAAAAATACAACAAACTGGTGAATATACTGAAAAGGAAGCAGACTCACAGATAAAGAGAACAAACCAGTGGTTACTGGTGGGGAGGGCAAGGGGGAGGGGCAATATGGGGGCGAATGGGAGGTACAAACTACTGGGTGTCAGGTAGGCTCGAGAATGTATTGTACACACCGGGAATATAACTGATATTTTGTAGCAACTGTAAATGGAGTGTAACCTTTAAAAATGGTTTCAACAAATAAAATGTAAAAAAACAACCCAGTTTTATACCTTTATATCCTTAGTTTCTTAGCACAGTGCCTGGCGCTTAGTGGGCACTAAGTGTGCAGTGAGGGAGCTGCTCACTCTGGCCGCATCCGCCTGTCTCAGCCTCCTCCTCCTGATCACACGCTGCCCCTTTCTCTGCCAGTGTTCACGGCCCAGCCCTTGGCTCCAGCCCCTGCCCTACCTCCCCTCTGTCCGGATTCACAGGCTCGGCTCGCCATGTTCCTTCTGCTGCCGCCTTCCTCCCTCACCGTCTCTTCTGCTCCTGCCCTTCTATTTTAAGCAGCTCTTGTCACACTCTCATATCTTTCCAGACGCTTCTCTCCTACTCTTCTGCCCCGTGGGGGCCACTCAGGGCAGTTCCAGCCCACTCCTGGCCGCGGTGTCTGCAGGAGGACTTTATATAATTGCCTTCACAATGGGGCCTAACGACTGTGAAGCATGTTCATCTCCACCTACACAAGTCCACGTTGGCAGCAACCAACACCTCCCGGTTACAGTTGGATGCATCCCCCCCAGGCCCCTCTCTGGAGCATCTTTTGGAAAAGGTACTTTCACAGACCTTTAGGGAGAGGGTCACTCACTAACATGCTCTTCTTTCCAATAGCTGTAAGCACAAGAACCTCACTTCGCTGCTTGCTTCTCCGTGGCGCCCGTCTCTACAGCAAAGATCCCATTCACCCGGCTGGGCCACGTTTGCCGCGTTACAAGCTGATCTGCTACCGTGCAAGGAGTCGGGGGTGCACATCCATTCAGCCATTCGTCTGGAAACTTACTGCGCTCCCACAATGCCGCCCACTGGATACAGACAAGGGGTCGTGCACAAGTGCGTCCTGCTCAAAGATGCAAAGGAACCCACGGTCTGGAGAGGAAGACAAATCTGCACACAGTTTTAATCAAAGAAGAAGGCCTTGACGCAGGTTGGTGCCAGGTGCTCTGGGAACCTGGAGGGAGCCCCTGAGCAGGACCTGTTGGAGGGAGGTTTTATAGAAGTGACATTTGAAGACAATGGGAATTTTTTTGGGGGGGGTGTTGGTAATCAGGTTTTACATTTATTTACTTTAATGGAGGCACTGGGGATTGAACCCAGGCCTTTGCATATGCTAAGCGCGTGCTCTGCTACTGAGCTACAGCCCGCCCCCTGAGTGGGAACTGACGAGGCCGGCAAGGAGGCAGGGACGTGGACATTTGCCACGGGTCTGTGTACCTCCTGTGACGGAAACCTCAGCACCCAGTGTCGCAGCTCGCGTCTTGGCTGGACAGCTCAATCACCGGAAAGGTCCTTCTCTGATGGTGACCTTGGTCTTAGTGCTGGGATTTGGGAGCTGTAGGAAGATCCTAAATGTGGTCCACTTTATAACCAGCTGCCTTCCACCATGCTTTTTTAGCTGATCTCCCTGCCTCACAGCATCTCAGTTCAGTTCTGGAACACCTGGAGAGATCAGTGTCCCCTGTCACAGAGGGCGATGTATCTAGGTGACCTTCTCAAGGTCACGCACCACTCTGACTCCACTGTGCAGCTTCTGGGTCATGCCTGCCCATCCCTTTCTCTGCTTGGTGTCTCCTCCTGTCCCCCAGGTAGCCTGACCTGTTAGCTCTCTCTGGACTGAACAAGCCTGAGGTGACGGCATGCCGTTGGAGTGGGCGGGCTGCCTGGGGCACCCAAACCCCGGCAGCTCCACAAGGCTCAGGAGGATGGAGGCAATCGGGTTGTGTGGCTCTTCTGGGAGGCAGGCAGGGCAGGCTTTTTTTTTTTTCCCTGTTTGTTTTTCATTTTCTCTTCTCCCACTTGGCTTGGCTGGGTGATTGGAACTGCGGGTGTGTGTGGGCAGTACAAGCCTGTGCGGGAGTGCGTGTGCGCGCGCGCGTGTGTGCACCGGTGCACAGCTGTGTGGGAGGACATCAGAGCAGGAGGCCCAAAGAGGGAGCGGCCTCTCCTTGCCGAGATTCAGGCTCTGATGGTGCTCCCACTGAATTGGCCTTAGAAAGTTTCCTGGGTTTGACAGGAACAGAACAGAAGCTGCAGATAGGCTGGGCGGTTTCCTTGGCAACCCCAAAACACAGATGGGGGAGGGGAAGATGGAAACCCGAGAGAAGGGAGTGAGTTGGCACCACCACCAGCTTCAGTCCCCCCTTCCCCCCTCAAAATAGCTCAGGAAAAAATGTTGAGCTGGTCTCTGCGTTCTCCTGGGAAACGGGGAGGGAGCACAGACAAGTGAGGGAACAGAGGTGCCCCTCAGATCAGGGAAGCAGGAGCCAGGCTCCAAAAACCCTCTCTGGAGGAATGTGGCAGCCCCTGGTTCTTCTTTCCTCCAAAGGTGATGCATCTCTCTCCACCGTCCACTTCCCTCATTCTCTTGTCCTGGTAGCTTTGAGGACCCCTCCCCTCCCACACTGACTGAGGAAGCGGGGAGCCAGGACTGCCGGGCTCTCTGTCCGAAAGGAGCAGGACTGGCAGGCAAGCGAGGAGCGGGTGTCTCCCCGGCCCCCACCCGCTGAACCTTGGGACTGCTCCGTTCCTAGAAAGCAGGAGACAGAACCAAGCCGGAGGCGGAGAACTGAGACTGTTCCTTAAGAACAAAAGACGTTTATTAGTAATTAGTAAAACTGTCTTCCCGGCGGCAAGCTCCCCTCCGAAGTGCTCGCAGCGCCTCCCCAGAACCAACCTCCCAGGGCCCCGGTAAGACCCACACCCAGCTATGCTTGACAGCCCTCTGGTCTTTCCCAAAGTGTTGGCCTCTGGATCTGATTAACCCCATCCATGATCCCTGGTCCCCTGTCTTGGGCACTAGAATTCCTTTGCTTGGAAATTATGGAGGTTCTAAACACATTTGTGCAGAAGTTTCTAAAACCAAACCCAACCTTGGGGCCGCCCAGATGCCAGGGATGGGGACTCCTCTGCGCCCTTGGAGCAGCCTTTCTTGTTGAGATGCCAAATGTGTTTAGCGAGCGGGGAGAAGGCAGGAGGAGCGCGTGGAGGGGCAGCGGGCCCCTGGGCTTCGCGCCCACAGTCTCCCCTGATGGGTCCGCCTGGGGCTTGAGTGGAGGAAGGAGTGCCGGGCTGGAGGGACAAGGCCAGGGTTCTAATCCGCACATGTTTCAACCAGCTGTGGGTGGGGGGAAGACAGTCACGCTTCTAGGGGCCACAGTCCTGAACCAAATGTTGGGGCAGCCTGACCAACATGTGCGGGGTGGGCAGGGACGATGAGGCAGAAGGCTGGCAGTGAAACAGGCGGTTGCCATGACCGTGACCCCTTCCTGAGTCTGGCCTTTCTCTCTCCGTGCCCATCAGGCTCATGACTCCCAGGATGCGTTGCCAAGACTTGCTTGGCTTTCTGCCTCCAGGGAGCCAAAGTTTCCGGGGCATGTCCCCTCTGCCTCATCCTCATCTGCGGCCCCTTTACCCTCAGCTGCCTCCCCCGCAGCAAGGCCTCACCGCCCAGGCCCCCATCTCCCCACCGCAGCGCGGCCCGGGAGAAGGGAAGAGAGTGGCCGCTCCCTCCTTCTGGCTCCCAGGCGGGCCGCAGAGCTGGAAACCCACCCAGGAGGCCCTCTGGAGACTTGCCAGCCCCCCACCGCTCTGAGCAGGGCATGGCAGCTTTGAGACTGTGATCATTTTGAGACTTCAGTAGGCGGCTAAGAGCCGCTTATGAGGAGGGCAGCGTCCAACGGGAAGGCGTGCGTTGTCGGGAGGAAGGGGAATGGCTCAGGCGACAGGCCTGTCCCTGTGGAATGTGTAATCGTGTGGGCTGCCATTAGAGAGGCCTCCGCGTTGGGCCCTTCATCTACTCTGGAATATTCCTCCCGAACATCACATTTGCACATACGCCCCATTTAAAGGCAAGAAACTTTCCAGGTATCTTTATCAGAGGAACTGGGACAACAGATAAAAGAGTGCCTTCTTTTGAGGGTTCTCTGAGGCCCCTATTTTGAGCGTTGGCATCTTGGTGTTGACCTCCCGTAACCCTGCGCCTCTGGGTTCCCTGCTTCCTCCAGGCCAGAGAGTCCGCCGTGACTGGCGGCCGTCGCTGAGCGTGAGAGCGGCTGCTGGAGGTCCGGCAGGTGAAGGGACCTTGGTGGCTGGTCACCGCCTGGCCTCATCTCTGATCCTGAGTCTCTGAGGAATCTGTGTGGGGGAGGCCGAAAGCTGTGAGCAGATGTGGGGGTCGGAGAGGAGGCGGGCAATGCTTGGGCTTGGCCTGAAGCCCGCAGTGAGTGGTGCAGGGAGCGGTTCAGGGCGGGGTTTGGAAGCTCCGGGGGTGGGGATGAGGGCGCAGGAACGGGGTGGCCTATGTCATAGAATCTCTAACTTCTGAAGACTCTCTACTAAGAGATGCTGCAGACACTGACGTTGGGGCCATTCAACCCGGTGCTGCTCCAGGGCACTTCGGGGCACCTGGGGGCCTCTGGAACCTGCCCTTGTATTCGTCTTCTGGGGCTGATAAAACAGTTTTTTCCCACATGGAATTTAAAACAACAGAAATTTATTCTGTCACAGCTCTGGAGGACAAAGACCAGAAATCAAGGTGTCAACAAAGTCGGTTGCTTCCGGAGGCTCTGGGGGAACATCTGTCCCATGTCTCTTTCCCAGTGTCTGGTGGGGCAGGCATTCTCTCACACTCCTTGGCTTGTCGATCCATCACTCCGGTCTCTGCCTCCGTCCTCACATGCTGTTCTTTGTATGTCTTCTCCTCATCTTACAGGGGTGCCTGTCTTTGGGATGTAGGGCCCGCCCTGCATCCTGGATGACTTCATCTTGAGGTCCTTACCTACTTACACCTGCCAAGACCTTATTCCCAAGTAAAGTCACAGTCTGAGGTTTCCGAGTGGTCATGAATATTGGAGAGACACTCTTCAGCCCATCACGTCCCCCAACACCAGCCTTACACCAGCGCTTGGGAGGAGTTGAGAAGACCCCCCCCGCGTTTGTCCACCACCCTGCTTGTTGGGCTGTCACAAGGTCAAGGTGGTCGGAGGATACTGGAACCTGAAGCTGAGACCCTCCTTCCCCACCTCCTTGTTATCCTGCGCGTCTCAGAAAGTTGCAAAGCGAAAGGTATTGAACCCCATCCTTGTCTTGGGCAGAAATGTTCCTCCTTCATCCGAAAGAAAGGCAAATGTCCAGAGTGTTTCCTCGGAAAGTAAAACTATACCCTGAACTCTTCTTCTTAGCTGGCCTGGTACCTTTCTCAAGCCTTCCTTAATCCATCGTGCAGCAGCTCAACCATATTTCCTCCTGGTCTCTCCTTGAGGTTGGCATACAGCAACCTCTTCTTGGTCTACCGCTCTGCTAATGCTCAAGTAACATTTATCATCATCTTTCCCTGCTTCTTGGTGGGGCTTGTTTTTGCCTGGAGAGGATGCATCAGAGGCATTCAGATGAAACAACCCACCTAAATGCACAGATTCTGAATTTTCTCTTGGAGCCATCTCAGCTGACTATTATTTTTGCATCCTTCCCTCTGTCCCTCCCGCCTCAGGGTTGGTGACAAGCCGAGCTGTGACTATCTAGCCACTCTAGAGCACTTAGCCACCCTCACTTGCCACCACTCTGTACAATTGCACTCCAGAGAAAGAGAAAGCCTGAAAGACAAGCTCGAGGTGGCACGGCCATCAGTCACCCTGATGCTCTGAATCAGCAATCATTACTGTGATAAATTGCTTCGGAGTTCCCATCACAAATAGTGCAGCAGAAGGGAGAAGTCGTATTTAGACACGGGGCCCCACTGCATTCATCTCTCTCCAGCATTTTAAGGAGAAAAGGGGCCAGCGTCGCAGCGTTAGGCTTTCTTCTATAGCACACGAGGGTGGCAAGTGCTCAAGGAGAGGGGGACACTGTAACCTGAGGACAAGCAGCTCTCCCGGCAGTCAGTCTACAGTCCCGCCAAGGTTAGAAAGATGGGGTGTCTAGTGACACACACAGATCCTGCTCAGGCAGAGGCCAAAGCTGGGTGAAAACAGAAGAGACTGGAGCAGGGTCTGGGGAAAAGGAAAGAAAGCGTGAGGGGCCAAATGTCCCACCATAGATCAGCGTCTAAGCTGGAATGAGGCCCCAGGCCCCCGCTGCTGTGTGTCCCTTCCAGAGCCATGAATTTCACCTACAAACAGATGAACCACCATTGTTTTGTATTTTACACATTATCTAATTTAATCCTCACCACCCCACTGGAGGTCAAGTATAGTTGTATTTATTTTACTGATGGGGAAATGAAGCTCAGAGAGGTTAAGTAATTTGCCCAAGGTCACACAGTAAGTTGCTGGAGTCTGAATTTGAATTCAGGTTTGTCTCGCCTCAAAGTAAGTACTCACAGTCGCCTTGTGGTACGGCCTCTTTTTCTCCTTGTTGAAGGGCCAGGATGAGGAACTCTGGAGCTGTGAAGTGAAAAGAGGGGAGACACACAGGAGCCACTGTGACAGGACAGCGCGTAGGTCTGCTGAAGCAGAAGAGGAGAGGCGGCTCCCAGTGACTGGTCCCGGGTACCCCTCCGGCAGGGAAGGAGCCTGGCTGAGTCACCAGAATCAGAAGCTGGCAGATACTGGAAATGCAGGACTTGGCAAGGAAACAAGAGGCGGTGACTGACCGCGTCAGGGTCCATCTTGTTCACGGACCTCTCTGCCCAAAATTTCCTCAAACATGACTTCTTACTTCTCTTAAATCATCTTATTTTTGCCCATTGGGAACACAGCGTTAATCACATTCCTTGTCATTGATCTATGCGAGGCCTGTGCTTTCTTCTGTTTTATTATTTCCCACCCTCACACCTGTTAACTCCTTCACCATAGACACTCACTTCAGTGCATTAAATATATATCCTTCCAGCCTGCCTTTCATATGCTGATAGTGATATATGTGTACTCTTGAAAAAAGATATAGGAGATCATTTTATTTGCGTGTGTTCTTTTTTTAGTGAAATATAGTCAGTTTACACTGTTGTGCTAATTTCTGGTGTACAGCATAATGACTCAGTTATACACACACGTACGTATATATATTTCTTTTCATATTCTTTTTCATCATAGGCTATTACAAGGTATTGAATACAGTGTGTGGTGTGTTCCTAATTTACACGATTGCTTTTATGCTTTAAATCTCACTGTTTCTTTGTTCACTCAGCCGTAGTTATGTAAGACCCATGCATGCCGTCCTGTGTGCTTTTTACAGCGTGACTTCCATCCTATGCACGTACCATGTTTTCTACCCGCTTGTAGGTTGCTTCCAGCTCCCAGGCACTAGCCGCAGTGCTGTAAGGAGCATCTCCCACCAGCCACTTACCAAGCTGGGGGAGCGTTTCTCCCACAGTGGGAATGGGGTAGCTAGGCCGTAGGGTGTATAGATAAATCCCCAGTCTTCTCAGCCTCTCCTTGCACGTCCCCTCTGTAACCCCCACTCATCATATGTTCTGGTTTTTAATTGCTAATTATATCTTCACTTGTACATGCCTTGTCTCTCCTGCCATATCATAAGCTCTTGAGGTCAGAGATCATGTTTTACTCATTTTCATATTCTTAACGGTTCCTAATATACATCGTATGCCTAGTTGGTGCTAATAAAACATTTTTTTATATAGACTGAATTAACATCTTCTTTCCCCCGGGATGTTACTTTCTTGACAGCAAGATTAACTGTGTCTCAATCATCTCATCCAAGTTCAGCATCTGACCCTTCGTAAACCATTTGTCTTAGATCTGATGCATAACATTGTCAGGCATGGAAAAATAGTGAGTTAAGAGTGAACTGGGTTGGGAGTTAGGAGACTTGAGGGCCATGTAACTAGTTTTATGCCCTTGGACAGGGCATATTTCTCCTTGAGCCTTGGTTCCCCTACACGTTGCAGGGGCGGGGCAGCAGGTTAGCGGTGTCCTTCTCCCAACCTGGAATGGGGACCGTGAAGAGCTGTGTGGATGGTGAGTGTTACCTGTCCATTTCCCATGTGAGAAAGCCACTGGAGGAGAAGGAAGGGCCAGCACACAGCTGTCCCCTTCAGCACCTCTTCTCTCCCCCATCACCTCATGCAGTTTTGCTTTCCTCATTTCTAGAGGATTCATCACTGAAGACACAGGGTCCCCCAGAGGGAGGGGCTCCCTTGGGAAGATCTAGACTATCAATCAACAGAGGAAGAAAAGAGAATGGCTGAAGGAAGACCCGCAGTAGTAATTGGGGCAACAACTGGAATTCAAGGAAGGCTTCACTCATGGCAACAAGCCCGGAAACACAGAAGAACCAGGGCAGACTTGTAGCCCATAGTCACCCCTGAAATGTGACACCAGGACTGGTCTAGGGGATCCTACCATGGTCCTCTTGGAGGTAACTGTTCCAGAAGGAGTTAAGTTTATAAAGGGGGAAAATCAAGTGGATTCATGCTACACTAAGAAAACGCAATGGGAAAACCATGGGTAAGTGCAGGACTGGATGGATTCCCAATCGGGATGGAAGAAAATCAGGGGTTTTGAAAGTAAAACCTACCCTAGCAGAGAAGGTCAGCAGTGCTGAGAAACTGGGGGCGGGGGGCGGGGTGGGGAGCACACCAGTGGTGGGATGTGTGGTAAGCTACTGGGTGCAGCACTGAGAGACAGTGCGGTCTCCACTGTGATGGGCTAGTTAGGACTGTGAGTGATCAGGGCTGAAGGCAGACCTGCTCAGGGCTCCAGGGGACCATGGAGGAAGACCTCAGCCCCTTTAAAGCCTGGGCCTTAATAAGCCTGGGCATAGCATCACTTCTGCCACATTCTGTTAGCAACACAGTCACAGGCCAGCCCGGATGCAAGCAGAGTAGCAATAGATCCCACTTCTTCATGGGTGGAATGTCAAAAAGCTCCTGGTCCTCTTCCCCTCTCACATGTGCTACAATGATATCCTCCCACGCAGCCCTTCCCCTTCCCACATCCTGATTACCTGCTCCTAACTTGCTGCCTCCTGCATTCCTCTCACCTGTCTTAAGCACAGACACCTCCCTCTGGTCTGTCTCTGAGCCCTCCTCCCAGCGCAGTCTTTACGACCCACCAGGGTCCACTGGCCTTTCCCCGCCCCCTCCACCCCAGCTTCTCTATTGGTCCCTTTCTCAGTGCCATTTGGACCCTGTTCGACTGTGAGCTTCATCTTGGGTCATCCTTCCCCAGCCTCTTCCCAGTGAGATTTAACTTTTCTTCAGACAGAACCAGATCTGTACTAGTCATTTCCAATGCTAGCCGCTGCTCCTCTCACAAAGAGGGCTCCACTTCCTCCTTGCTTCCTATCATGACTTCCAGACTCTGCACAAAACAATACATAATGGAAATCAAATTATTTCATTAAAGTCTCTCAATCCAAGTGGAGGCTGAGGATAGAGACACAGTCAATCAGTCAAAAACATTTATTAACTGGAATGCCCAGTCCAGTGGGGAACCAACCACTTAACAGATGATCACTTTGCAGCCGGTCTGAACGATGTGGCAGTGAGCTCCTTCAGGTCAGGGACCAAGTCTCATTGATTTGTGCCTTGGAGCCCAGCTCAGTGCCCATCAAATGTAAGCACACAAGGGAATAAATGAGTTTAATGGATGAATGATTGCATGTTGATCCTGAAAATAAAATTACTTCTAGAAAGCCAACCTTTCTTGGATGAACTACCATTCTGATGAGTCATGTAGAAGTCTCCAGAGGGCATTTGGGATCAAGAATTAAGACTATTCTTTAAAAATCCTTGCCATCTGGCCATCTGCTTCTCCCCATCCCATCCCCATGCTCATAACTCCAGGACTTTCCAAATGACCTCAGCATCTAATTCACCATTCTCTTCCACACCATGTACACTCTGCTTTCAATCCCAGTCATTCAGTATGTGTATAATTGTCTCCTTTCTAGCCCCCTGATTCTTGACCTTGGCCCGCTTCTTGCTGTCTGTTAATAGCTCAACTTACCAGCCTTACATCTTGAGATTACTTTTTACACCTTATGCTGTCAAAGTAGGTGGCCATGACCCCTCAACACAATTGTTTGTGTTGAATGGACACCATCCCCATGAACCAAAGTCCCACCCAGACTTCACAGCCCAGCTTCGACACTGCCTTCTTCACAGGACTTGTGCTGATTCACCCACCAGATATGATCTCCCCTCTCCTGAAAATTTCAAAGACTCTCAGTTGTCTTTCTCACATGGAATTTGTCATAGTCTGCTGTCTTAGTCCATTCAGGTTGCTGTAACAAACATTCCTTAGCGTGAATAGCTCAAACAACAAAATTTATTTCTCATGGGTTTGGAGGCTGGAAAGTCTAAAATCATGGTGTTGGGCTGGCTTTGTGTCTGGTGAGAGCCTGCTTCCTGCTTCACAGATGGAGCTTCCTAACTGTGAAGCTCATGAGGCAGAAGGGAGGCAAGGGAGCGTTCCTGGGTCTGTTTTATGGGGGCACTGATCCCATTTATGAGGGTCCCACCCTTATGATCAAATCTCTTCCCCAAGACCCCACCTCCTAACACCATCATATTGGGGGTTAGGATTTCAGCATATGAATCTGGGGGGGACGCAAACATTCAGTCTGTAACGTCTGCCATCCGGTATTCTTATATGTGTCTTTGCCTCATCTTCGCCGCTTTGATTGAAGTTCTCATGGAGATGAGGCTGTGCCTCACCCATCTTCTGGTCGCACCATTTATAACAGCATGTAGCACAGAAGAGTAGACACATTTTATTTTGTCTTCACAGCATCCCATCTTTTAAAAGATCTTCCTTCTATGTCTATATTGAGATGGGAAGGAAGAGGGAGGGCACAACCATGAAAAGAATGACACAGCAATTAGCACCAAGATGGCAGAAGATTCAACTCCCAGTAGACCTTGAGCTTCAATAGATGCTCATTATAATACAATAACGTGCATGATGGCACTCCCACGGGTGCCATGACAGTTTGCCAAGTCACAAAGTGGGTGATGGCCCAGCTCCTGGGAATCCCCACCCCCTTCCCCAAAGTAGCCTGAATAATACTCCCACTTGTTAGCATATGAAGTTAAAGCCCATAAAAACGAACAGCCCCACACTTCACAGCCTCTCTGTTGCCTTTCAAGATGGACCACACTCTGTCTATGATGTGTGTATCTACTTTTACTTTAAACTAAACACCCATCCCCATGCTTCCTGACCTTTCTGGCCTTCTGAGATGGCCTGCACTCTCTCTGTGGAGTATGTATCTCTCTGAATAAATCTACCTTCACTCAACTGTGGCTCACTCTCAAATTCTTTCCTGCATGAAGCCAAGGACCCTCACTTGGCGGGGAGTGACCCAGGGACTTGACTGAGACCTGGGACATGGCCATCCTCTCAACATTCTGCATTTTTCCTGTATCGGTATGATCCAAGTGGGGATGTTAATTATGGTGCCCCACAGACTCAGGCAGAAGATGCAGACTGCCCAGTGAAAAGACTCCATTCCCAGCCTCAGAGGTGGCACACAACCAAGCAGAACCAGTCTGCCTTGAGGTTTGCTACATGTACACACCGAGGAGGGTCCTTCTTCCTCTGAGACCAGAAGCTGTGGGGACGATGTAAATTGGACTTTCCGTGGCCATGTCTCCGGGCCACATGGAGGACGCTGCAGGAGAGAGTGAGACCTACCTCAAATGCAGCAGGGACAGAGGCAAGGACAGCTGGCCTGTCTGGAGCTGGCGTTGCACGGGATGCTATTCCAGGCACACTGTGTGGATGATCTCATTTACTCCTCACGAGAACCTATGAGGCAGACACTATTATCATATCCATTTTACAGATGAGGAAACAGGGGCGCTGAGAAGTTAAGCAGCTTGTTTTAAGTCACCAGCAAGTTAGGCAGTGGAGCCAGGATTTGAAACCAGCCTGTGAGACCCCAAAACTATGACGCTATGCTGTGGCACAGGAGCCAAAATACACATAAATAGAAGAGAGAAGGATTTATTCATTTATGAGCAAGTGCAAGGGAGAGCTGACATCATCCTTTGAGCTCCTGGATCTAGCTGTGCCTGGAGCCAGCTGACTCACATGTTTTTCAGTTAAATAAGCCAGTGCATTCCCTTTTTGCTTAAAATAGTTTGTGTATCAGTCACTTGCAACCTCCCGGTTGCACAGAGGAGAACTGGGTCTTAGAGATAGAGCAGGACTTCGGGTTTCCATCCTGGCACTACCCGTCACTTACCACTGACGCTTGGATAAATTACTCGAAGCCTTGGGGCCCTGGAGGTAAATGTCCCAGACTCTCCGGGCTGAGGGGACTGGGGCAAGAGATGAGATTACATGCAAATGCACTTAACACTCTGCTAACACAATTTAAGTACTCAATAATTGTTAGAGCTCCTCTCTTCCGTGTCCCCTCATGAGGAGTAGCTGTTCAATCAGCATTTGTTCAATTGAATTAAATCTTCAAGAGGCTGCAGGGTGCTGTCTGAGCTTGAAAGGAGCTGGAGTTAGAGTCTCCAGTCAGGGGAGGCTCCCCAGCCTGAGGGGCCACCTAACGACTGTATTTGGCCATTAAAAAAAGGAGAAGAAAAAGAAGGAGAAGAAAGAAAAAGACTCTGCCCTTCTTTGGTCTCCATCTCACTGAAAACCTTATCCTCTCTGCTTCCAGATCCCTCCAACTGAGAATGGCTGTTGAAAGTAACTTCAGGGGTGCTTTGGCCCTTCCTTGTCCCCTTTCATAAGCAGAATAGGGGGTCCCTGCAGGGGGAGGGGCTGGTGAGCTAAGGCTGGCTGCAATGCTTGGCCTTGAACGGGCCTCAGTCATGAATGATCTGGAGGGAAGGGAGGGAATGCAGGGACAAAGGAAGAGCAGACAAGAAACAGTACTTCAGCGGTGAAACGGAGTCCTGGCTCCTCCTCAGGGACACACGTGTCCATTGGACACAGATCTTTGAGCTGTTCTGCAGGGACTAAGGCCCCCACCCAGGTGGAGGATGGAATGATGGCGTTGACCTTTTCCGACTTCGGTCACCTAGAGCTTGGACTCTGTCAACCCTTGCCCCGCATCTAGGCTGAATTCTCCTCTGCTCCAGCCCCTTCACGCACCTGCACGCACTGCCCACGCCCCTTCATGAATATGCAGGTGCCCTCAGCTTCAGACTTCCCCAGTTTTGCTGTTGGGGAGACACTGCTCTGGGAAAGATCTCCGGGGTTCTCTTCACTTGCTGCAAGTAATAGAGCCTCCCTTTTCTCGCTCTTTGACTTGGTTGTGTCTCTTGGCTTGACACCCACCAGAGGCAAACCCAGTTTTCAGGTAACACTTTCCCTCCTCCTTACAGTTTCCCTCCTCCTTACAGTTTCCCTCCATATCCAGGTCCTACTGATTAAACTTCTAGAACTTTCTCAGACCTGCTGTCTCCTCTTTACCTCCGCAGACAGTGCCCTTGCTCAGATGCCATCTTTCTGGATGTTTGTCCCCACTGAGACAGGAGGGAAAGTGGGCAGGGCACAGCTGTTACAGGAATGACACACCAGTTAGCACCAAGACGGCAGAAAAGTCAACTCCCGGTAGACCTGGAGGCCCATGATGGCCGGAGACTCGGCCTCCTGTGGGCCTTTGTCACACACGTTGTAATGTCCTAACACGGTAAAGGACACACCCGCAGGCACCATGACAGCCCCAAAGCTGAGCAAGAAAGGTCACAGAGAAGGCGGCGGCCCAGTTCCTGGGAATCCCCACCCTTTCCCTAAGGAAGCTGGAATAACCCCCTCACTCGTTAGCATATAAAAGCTACCACCACCACACCTCAAGGTTTTTCTCTCTCTCTTGCCTTCCAGACGCCACACTGTGTGGAGGGTGTATCTGCCTTGACTTTAACCACTGCCCCCCACCCCCGCCTCTCCTGCTCCCTCACCCTCCGAGATGGCCTGCACTCTGCCTGTGGAGTGCGCAGCTCTCTAAATAAATCTACTTTTACTCAACTATGGCTCGCTCTTGCGTTCTTTCCTGCACGAAACCAAGGACCCTGACTTGGCGGGTCCTGGGGCACAGCCATCCTCTCGCCTCCCCCGTTTTTTCCTGGATCACTACCTCCTCACTGGCCTCCCTCCCTCCAGCCTGCTAGCCCCACAGTGCAGCCAGGAACAGGTACCTGTGTTCAAGGTGACCACACCACTCTTCACCCCCGCCACCGCCTCAGCAGGAACGTGAGGCCATCCTTAGCCTGGTCCCTGCCCAGATCCCCAGGCCCCTCCCCCTCCTTGTTATTCCACGCCTCCATGCCATCCTCAGGCTGTTCCCTCTGCCAGAAGACCCCCTCCTGCAGCCCCCTCCCCTGGTCCTTACTCATCCTTTAAGGCTCTGCTCAGTTTTTTGGGCTTTTTTCCTCCTGGAAACTTCCGTGAACTCCCAGCCCACACCCTGAGCCAAGTGCTTCCCCTCGATGTCCCCACAGCACCCGTACGTAACTCTGTCTTCTTACATACTGTTTTAAACTGTGATCTCTTTCCGCATCTGTCTTGGGAATCGTGTGGCCAAGAGCGAGGTCTCACTAAGTTCGTAGCCCTGGCACCCGCAGACCCCCACATGCAGACACTGCACAAAGGGACCAGAAAGGGCAAAAGGGGAGCTGGTACGTGTCTTGCAGACTGAAGTCCTGATTTGCAGTTTCCCCCTGTTTGGTTTCCTTGATCGCTAGGCTGGGGACAGCGCTTCCCTTATTGGCAAATACAACACGTAGGGGTTTTGCTGGGGGAGGGGAGAGGGGCCAGTTTCCTCACCTTCTGAATTGCGGGGCTGGGGGGCCTCTGCACTAGCGGTGGGAAAGGGAAAACTCGTTTTCTCTGGGAGCCCCTGCCGTTGTGGGATTGTTTGTGTAACTGTGTGATTCTCCATGCAGCTTTGCATGCGTGATCCGTGAATAGTCAACCTTTGGCTACCTTAACATGATCCCAATCTCAGTTTTAAAAAGGATAAAGTTATTTCATTACATCTGAACATAGGCAAAGAGTTTGTACTGATGCATAACTGCAGCAAACACATGCAAATCCTTTGCAGGTTGGGGGACCTGGTAAGGCCGGCGTTGCGGTTACATCTCAGGCCCCCAGTGCCTGGAATAGCCACAAAGCCTCTCGGAGTCTTAGGGTTTTCCTTGACGTGCCAGGCTGGTGATCCCGACGGCTGCCCCACAGGGCCCTGGGGAGAACCAGCCAGAAAGACGGGCAGTGAGGGGACATGCACGTGGGGGAGCAAGCCTGCTGGGGGAGGACCTGGGGGGTGTTGGGCAGGCTGTCGGGGAGGTCCTGCTGGGCAGGCTGCCAGCTGCTCTGCTGGGGTTTCTGGGGCTTCATGCTTCTATAATTCTCATCCCTCCCCCCCAGATCTGTGTCCCATTAAATAGAAATGCGTTTTCCTCTCTGTCCTTCTCCCAGTGCTCAGAACTGGGCTGCATCTGGTGTTGCTTAAGGCATCCACTAATTCAAACCAAAGAAGGCGGGAGGCAGACTAGCCATGTGGCCACCCCCGCCCCGCTCCCCGCTCCCCCCCAGCTTGCCCTTGCTCCCGCCTTTCCCCCTGGATGGAGAATCTGGCCTCGGCCTGTCCTTGTGACTGGGAAAAGCGGGGTCAGCTCATCAAAGCAGCACAGGGGCTGCCAGGCCGCTTTCTTCTTTCACAGGGTTATTGAGAAGGCGCGGCTGGGGAAGGGGGTGTCGCCCGGCCCTGGCTGGTCCCAGCCAGAAAGGGGGGCGTGCTTCAGCAGGCGAGAAGGCCTGCCAGGGGCAGGGAGCACTTCGTTAGGGGTGCTGAGGTATTGGAGGGGGGTGGGCTGTAGAAGGGAAATGTGTGCGGTGACATGACTGCTGTCCGGGTTGGGCCAGGCCAGGCTGGAAGGCCAAGGGGCAGTGACTCGTTCTATGTCAGGCCAGTTGTCTCTTGAAAGATGCTGGGGCCAAGCCCAATGCTCCTTCTTTCCGTCTTGTCTTTCCTGCTTCCCTGGAAAGAGGGTGGAAGAGTGTGAAGCTGTGAGGAGGAGGGCAGGGACCGCCTCCTGGGGCAGCTGTGACATTACCTTAGGAACACCTGGACTGCCATTTTGTGGGGTTTTTGTTTGTTTGTTTTTTGTTTTGGGGGGTAATTAGGTTTATTTATGGACTGCCATTCTGGATTCCTGGATTCTCCAGCAGTCTGGAGGGGCGGGGCTACGACCTGGAAGGGGACACATAGGGTGGGAATAGAAAGAAGGAGACTTATCGCAGGGATTGTTCTGAAATGTATAGAAATCTGGAATCTGTAAGCTGTGCGCCTGCAACTAACACAGTGTTGCAGGTAAATCATACTTCAAAAACAAACAAACTCAGAAAAAGAGATCAGATTTGTGGTTATCAGAGGCGGAGGGTCAAGGGGAAGGGAACTGGACGAAGGCAGCCGAAAGGTGCAAACTCCCAGTTACAAGGCAAGTGCGTGCTAGGGGTGTCGTGTACAGCATGGCGGATACGACGGACACTGCTGTATGTTACATGTGACAGGTGTTAAAGAGTTCTCGTTGCAAGGAAAAAATTTTTTTCTACTTCTTTAGTCTTGTAGCCATGTGAGATGATAGATGTTCACTAAATTCATTGGCTTTGGGATGAAGTTTTAGCCAGCGGAATGTGAGTGGAAGGGATGGTGCCCCTTCTGGCTCATACAGTAAGGGAAAGGCATGCACTCCACTTCCCCTTTCTCCCTTCTCTCTGACTACGATGTGGATGTGATGGCCGGCACTGGAGCAGTCATCTTAGACCTTGAGATGGAAGCCACACGTTGAGGATGGCAGAGTGACAAGATGGGATGAGTCTGGGTCTCCCGCACTGTGAAACTGCCAAATTTAGTCCTGGACTCCTCATAGGAGGGCTCTCTCTTGGGGAAGCCACTGTGATCATGACCTTTGTTACAGCCGCTGAACTGGTATCTTACCTTTATAAATAACACAGTCAGCAGTTACTAAGATCCTACTATGTGACCATCACCACTCTGAGTATTTTACATGCAGCATTTAATTTGATCTCTCCCGTAAGCC